TGAAATAAACCATCTGCGGAGCAAGTGAGGACACGCCGGTGTCCCAGCCTCCCTCCGTGGGGGAGGCTATTCTAGCAGCTCGGAGCTCGACCAGCACCTGAGGCTGGATGATCCTTTCTTGGTGGGAGGGGTGCTGCCCTGTGCACCGTAGGATGTTCAGGACCTCTTCCCACTAGGTGCCAGGAGTAGCCTTTGTCCCCAAGTTGTGACCACCAAAGATATCTCCAGTCAAAGCCAAATGCCCCCTGGCAGGCAAAATCACCCTGATTGAGAGCGAGTGGACAGTGAAATCTCAGTTCATCTGAGCAGCGGTCAGCTGTTAATTAGCTGAGGACAACCATTAGCCCGGCTTCTGACACGGGCCCCATGTGAGCAGGACATGGCTGAGACCCGAAGCTCCCGGCTGCTACACGAAGGAGATTGATGGAAATGACACCTTATTAATATTATTATTATTTTTTTGGTACCAGGGATTGAACTCAGGGGCACTCGACCACTGAGCCCCATCCCCAGCTCTATTTTGTATTTATTCAGAGACAGGGTCCCGCTGAGTTGCTTAGTGCCTCGCTTTTGCTGAGGCTGGCTTTGAACTCGTGATCCTCCTGCCTCAGCCTCCGGAGCTGCTGGGATGACAGGTGTGTGCCACCGTGCCCGGCCTGACACCTTAATTGATTCTAAGGACACCTAGCATCATTTTTAGAGAAACCCAGACAGAATACGCAGGAATCTGAGAACAGTCTGACTGCGCCTCTGGGCAAGGTTAGCTGTTCAGCTTCAATCTCCCCTCCTGAGCGCAGGTCTCACCTCCCAGGCTCAGATCTCCCCTAGTGAAACTGCTGAACAAATCTGCTCCACCCTGTCCATTCTCTATTTTAAACCCGCTTTTCTTTTTCCATTCACATATCACTAAATTGAAATCAGGGACACAGTCTTTTGTATATTTCCTGTCTGACTCCTCCAAAAAGAATGGATCCTCTGCCCAGCACGGCGGTACACGCCCGTAATCCCAGGGACTGGAGAGGCTGAGGCAGGAGGATCGCAAGTTGGAGGCCAGCCTCAGCCACTGAGCAAGATACTGTCTCAAGATAAAAACAAAAAAAAAACATAAAAAGAGCTGGGATAAAGCATCCCTGGGTTCAGTCCCTCATACCAAAATGGGAGAAAAAATGGATTCCTCGCTGGCAGGATTTTTCTGTCTCGGTTACCACGCTATCTTTAGCATCTGGCTGGAGGCCTGGCCTCTGCATGGCCCATTAGCTATTTATTGAATAAGCGAGGAGATGAATAGATTTACATGGATGTAATTTTTAAAGCATTCATTTCCGCTCACATTCAGGGCTCAGCCTTATCCACCGTCCTCTCTGGCCGGGCATCGTCTTTAAACAATGGAGATGCTTCTTCCTTCCCCTCTGCCCCGAGTCCGTGGATCAAAGAAACTCAAGTATCTGGTTGGTTTTGAAAAGGGAGCAGTCAGGAGACTTCGTCCCGCTGCCCTCGATCACGGGGGCCGGAGAGGGAGCAGATGCAGGTCTGCCCCCCTGGACGGAGCCAGCCTCACCAACACCCAGGTGGACACGCCCCGGCTCCACTATGGAGCGCCTCCACCGCCGCCCCCAGGTGCTTGGGTGCCCGAGCTGAGGCCAGTTGACAGAGAGGCTGGTGGGTGGGGTGGGGGCCGAGAAGCTGAAATTAATTGACAAGAGCGAGCCAGAAACGATCAGCCCTCCTGAGGATCAATAAGAAAGAGAATCAAATAAGCCTTCACACTTATCGGGACACCGTCGATGTACAGGGAGAGGTGGCCCTGTGTGTGTGTGTGTGTGTGCGCTAAAATAAACTCCTATTGGGGCCAATGCCCACGCCATTCTACACACAAGCCCGATGACAACCTGTGTGTCGTCAAAAAAAACCATAGAAATAAAAATTACCACCTGTAACGACTCTATGTGCCTCTCATCCGTCCGTCCATCTGCCCACAATCACCTCATCCCGTCTTCTCTTCTGTGTGTGGAACATTCTATCATGAACCTTGGGTGGAAACCTCCTACCTGCCCCTCTAGCTGCGCCCCTTTCAATTAGTTCAGGCAACTTCATTTTCTAGCAAAAGAGAAGAAAGATCGAGTAGAGAGATTCTGATGTCAAAAGACCCTGCGTCTGACACCCATCCATGCCTGATCTTCCTGTGGGACCCTGGGCAAGTTACCTAACCTCTCTGAGCCTGAGGCACATCTCTTTGAAATCATGTATCCTAAGAACACGGATGTAACTGTGGCACGTGAAGGCTCCGTGGGAGAAGCCGGTTCCTGGCAGATGAAGAAGCCTAGCGGGCGTGGAGAGCAGGATAATGAAACCAAGCCACAGCCCGAACTCAGGCTCCTTCCAGACTCTCACTGCTGTTGTTATTTCTCCCTTTCTAGATCACCCGGTTCCAGGTGGACCACTGCGGCCAGGACTTTCTTGGTGCACACAGCTTCTAGCTGGGACTGGGGAGGTAGCCCTTCCTGGGCGTCCTCATTCTGCTAATGTGGCTGCCGAGTCCTGCTGATCCAACGGTCCCAAAGCTCGGCAACGCTGACGCCGAGAGCGTCAGAGGAGCCCTCTGCAGCCACCAACCCGTCGCCCCCCACTCAGCACAGCCGTGCGAGGACAGAGGGACCGAGCCACGCTCAGGACCTATGCAGCCAGCAGGCGGGGAGAGCAGCCCAGGTGCCCAGGGAGGTGAGGACACGTGCTCTGTGACATCCAACAGACAGGGCCACCGTGACCCTGGGCTTCAGGATGGACGGGTGACCTGAGAGGCCAAGGACTCGGGGGGGGGGGGGGGGGGGGGGGGGGTGGGAGCTGCCCCGGGGCTCTGGTGCCACGTGGCTCGGCCACATCGCCCTCTGGCCTGCAGCATGTGGGGAGCATTGGGGACGCTGCTTTCTGCCAGCGAACCCTGCCCTGCCCTCGTGTCTGACCCGCCTGCAGGAGCTCAACAGGCCCCTTGTTCGCCCCTTGGCTGAGGCCCAGCGCAAGGCCAAGCTGGCCACGGTCTCGCGCCAACAGTTAAAAAAAACTTTGAACTTTGGTTGGGTTCCAGTGTGTCTTTAGCACCGGAAAATCAGGACTCGGGGCCAGACAGCCATCGCCTAGGGCTCCCAAAGAGAACCAGGCGCCCCGGGAGAGTCCTGTCGGGGACCCAGTGGGACGGCACACGGATGGGAAAGTGCGTCCTGCCTCAGCCCTGGCCGCCGATCGAGGATCGGGTCCCTGGGACTTTAAGAGCGGCCACTGGGCGTGGGGAGCTGTCACCCCCACAAAGCGCTGGCCAAAGCCAAGGATACCGATGGCCCTTTCCCGAGGAGGCTCTGAGGCTGGCCGGCTGGTGTCCAGCCAGGAGGTTGCGGGAGGGTCAAGCTCAGAACTCTCCATGGGGCAGCTCCAGCCCGGGCACCGGGAGTTGGTGCCCAGGGTCCTGCTCACGGCCCACGCCTGCCCCTGGGTGCAGTTCAAACATGAGTCCACCCAACCGACTGCCTGAGACAGTGTCCTCCATCGACACACAGGAGGTGGGACTGGACACCAGGGGTTCCGAGCAGCGTCCCCTCCACACACGACCCAGTGAGTCCAAAACGTCTTCAGATGTCACCAAGTAGCCTCGGGGGCCAAAACCGCTGGCTCTGGACAGTCAACTTCTTAAAGTGAGTCCAGTTAAGGAAGAAATGCCCTCTAGCGGGCCTCCCCCAACACAGGAAGTCCCCATGGCGACATGGCTTGGGGGGTCCGGGAAGGACAGGAGAAGGGGAAGATGAGACAGAGGACGGCCACCGGGCACAGGGACCTGGCCTCTGCCCCTCCACGCCACTCCCTCCCAGCTGACCTGCCAGCCTGGTTGCCTGGCTGTCCCCGGAGCCGAGAGACCACATGTGTGCCAGGGATGGGACGGACAGACAGAGTCCTGGAGCCCTGTCCCCACAACTCCGGGCTTGGCCACATGAAGTTGGGTGCATTTCTCTCCTTGCTGCCCTGGGTGGACCCACGCAGAGAGGCCCGGGAGACACGGGGCCTAAGGAGGAGGACGGTGGTGGCGGGTGGCCTTTGCCAAGGTGCTCTTGAAGTCCCCGATGACCTGTTACCAGCCTCGGGATGCTCACCTCGGCTTCACCGAGTCGGACACCCACAGAGTGTTCACCGCGGGGCTCTGCCCAGGGCCCGTGTGCCCTTCTCCCTGCACCGTGAGACCGGCCCACGGAGCTAAGGCAAAGACGGCTCCAAAGACGGACCCCCTTCCAACCCAGCAGGAAGGACGACGACCTTCTGGTTCTGGAAGCTCACACAGACACCCCGTGCGTACCTCTGACTCTGCACACACCATTTCCTGTGATCGTCACTGCACTCCTGCAAGGTGGACACCAGCCCTGTGGCTGTATCCCAGCTGAGAGATTCGGTGGCCTGCCAGCCTCCCGGGGCGGGAAGATGGAGAGCAGGAACTCCACCGGGGGGGGGGGGCAGGAAGCCGGGGCCCGTGCCCATACCTGTGTCCTACCCCCAGCCCAGCAGAAGGTAGACGCAGGGCCACATCCCTGCTCACCAGGCCCACCGGTCACCCGCCCCCCCCAGAAAACACAACTGCCCTCTAGGCTGTCCCAGGAGGCACGCAGACAGAAGGGTGACGGCCTCTGCCCGTCCCCAGACTCCCAAGAGCAGCGCCCCCTCTGTGGCTCGCGTGCCCCCCAGCCCCCTGTGCTTGCTGGGAGAACCAAGGGCAGAGGAACACCAAAGAAACGGCTTTGGTCTGGCCACGGGTGGGAGGTGCCTTTAGATACCCGGATGTGACAGTGCCCACGCGGGTACACAGCCAGCCAGAGCGCGGACACACGCGTGTGCACCCACGGCCCCGTCTGGGGCCCCTCGGGCTCTGGGCTGCGGGGCCAAAGAGGATGTGCACGCGCCCCCTGCAGAGCCGGTCCCAGAACATCAAGGTGCAAATCGGTGACAGAATCGTGGGAGGTACTCACCTGGGTCCCCAGGGCGATCAGAGGGCTCGGGTGCGGGTCCTGTGGGGAGAAGAAGGAAAGACACGTGAGTGAGGGGGACGTCCCCACCAGAGCGACGTCATTTTCCAACAAAGCCTCGTTTCTCCAGCTCTTGGCCCTGGGGAGGGGACAGCCCTTGTTACAGGGATGTGACAGAAGAGCTGGGCCAATCCGCCGCCCCCCACCCCAGCACTTCTCCCCCGTGAAGGAGGCCCAGGTTTGTCCTCAAGGGTCAACAGCCCAGAGAAAAGCTCCGTCACCAAGCATCTCCCCGGGTGTTGGGGTCCTCGGGACAAAGGAGAAGCTGGTCCAGGGGAGGATTAGAAGTAAACCCCCAGGAATATAAAGTCCTGTTCAGGTCCAGGCCCTCAGCGGGGGGTCGGATGTTGGAGAAAGAGGGACATGAGAGAAGGAGCCAGAAACAGAGGAGCCAGGTTCGGGTCTGGGGAGCGCATTCGGGTGGCCGGGGAAGAGGGGCCCAGAGAAGCGCCCTCTTCATCACTCTCCACGGAGGCCAGGCGGCTGGGAGTGCGGGTGGCAATGCCTCGGGGTCGTTGGGCAGGACCTCTGAGGGCTGGCGGAGGGACCGACCGGGGAAGGGACAGAAGGAGGAAGGCACCGACCGAGGGGAGGCGGCGGTGGTGTTCAGCCCGGGGTTTCCGAGGAAAACAGGAAACAGCGCACAAAGGCTATTTCTGTTTGCCCTGCACAGAGCCATCGCGGGGCCGCGATTCTGGGAACAGGGCCTCGAGCTGCAGCTTACAGAGAGCGGCCTGGTTCTGGGGCCCGGAAGCAGGCAGACACCCACTTTGGGGCTTGGCTTTATCCTAGCAGACTTTCCGAAGCCGGCTTCTAGGAAACCTTGCAGATTAGCACCCGCCCGGGGGCCTGGACTGTGAATGTGAAGGAGGTGAGGGGAAGGGAAGCCCTCTGCACCTCCAGACTCCAGCCGGACGGACGGCCCCTGCTTTCTGGATCCCTGTCCTGACACATCTTTACTGTGATGCCTGATTCAGGCGGGTGTCAGGGCCAAGATCATGGGCACAGGTTGAGCTCTGGCCTCAGCATCTCCAATTGCAGGCTGGAGTCCAGTTCCCAGTGCTCCCCCACCCCACCCCGGGGCAGCCCACAGGATGGACGTTCCAAGAGAATCTCATCTTCACAATCCTCAGACACCAACAGGCCTCAGACCCAGAAAAATCTTGAGGGGAACTTTTCTGCCCCTCCTTCCCCGAGGGCCAAGTGGCAGCTGTGCCCCGTGGAACCCAACATCTCCTGAGCCACTTTTGGGGGGTGAGTGGGCCCATTGGCTCCCCTTCCTGGGGCCCCCACCAAGCAGTTCCACTGCCGCTCACAGGCAGGAGGAGGGGGCCCAGCAGGGTCCCTGTACGTAGCAACAGGCCCTAGCTTCACCTTCAAGGGACAAGATCATCCTGTCTGTGGTCGGTGACCTGCACCAGACCTTGGGCAGCCCACCCAGTGAGCGCCTGCAGACTCTCCCCTCCCCGGGTCCATCTGTCCACTCGGATCCCACCATCTAGATTTTTGATTAGAAAAATAAGAAACTACATCTCAGCCACAAAATTAGCCTCCATTCTCAGAGCCAGATCCTCGCAGAGCACGGCTCCGGGGGTGTTGGGTGCACGCCCAGATTAATTAAGCTATACTTCACAGCTCATTTGGCTATTGTTTGGGGCTTACGCTTCACCGCTCCGAATCGGAGAAGAACACCATACCGAACCCCCTAAGAACCTCGCTGGAAAAAGAGCTTCCTCGGGAAGCCAGAGAAATACCGGTCAACCACATGGACCAAACGGACGGCCTGGTCCCTGGACCCGGGGCGGCTGCACGAACTCTTTGATTTGCTGTTCCAAAGTGAGATGCGAGACCCCCATCACGCGTGGTGGTTCAGGGTGCACGATTTATTTAAAAGCTTCTGGAAGACCCAAGCACCGGCACTGCCCACTTAGCATCTTAATTAACGAGGGCAGGAAGAGGATGCGGTGCTCCCCAGGGCCCTGTCGCTCACACTTAGGACTCGCTTGCCAGGGAAATCTGGTTCGCCTCCCTCTGCGCACCTTGGAAATGCGAGACTCTCCCTCAAGAGGCTCAGGCCCGAGGATTCAAGGTAGGGCTGTGCAGTCTGCGGAGAGGTCTCACTTTCAGCAACATCCTCCTTAATTGGAAAGGTTAACGAAGTGGAACTAGGTCAATGATGCCGGCTGCCTGATCCATCCTGTCTGTCTAAATTGGCACTCTCTGGTTTACAGCAGAGTAAATTCCTGTCTGTCAGAGGAAGGCTCCTCCGGCGGCTCCAGAGGGCAATCTGCTCCGCGCCCGCCGGCCACAGAGAGAGGCTTCTGGAATCTTAATGCTACCGAGACCAAGGAAGGGCTTTCACCCCCTCCCACTGCCATGAGTGGACTGGGGGAGTCCAAGAGGGCGCCAGGGAGACGCACCTGGGGGCCTGACCTCTCCACAGCGCCCCACAGCCATGCCCTCTGCTCACGGGACTTTGCGACCCCTGGGCTTGGCCACGCGATTGGCTCAGTCCCATGGGGCAACCCTGCTAAGGCACAGTCAGCTCTCCCTGCAAGCTCCTGCAGACACTGGCTGACCCTGTCTCCTCCGATGGCGGTGGAGTGGGTAAAGGTGGCTGATTCCTTTTGAATGGACACTCTGTGCCAAGCGCATGCGATACGGCCACCCCGCCAAGGGAGGGATCATACTTCCCATTTTATAGATCAGATAACTGATAACTCGTGGACGAGAACTGGTTCAAAAATGCAGGGCTCAGAAGGGGCGAAGCTTGGAGCAGTAAGCAGGTTTGGAAGTTTCCAGAAACTGCTCTCCTAACAGTATCCTGGGTGTTTCTCAAAGTCTGAACTTACTGAGTCGGAGTCTCCATGCAAGGGTCCAGAGAATCTGGATTTTTATTGAATTCCCTTGGGCCGTTCTGATGTACACCAGACCCAAACCTGAAAGCCCCGACCCGGTGCCATGGTAATCCAGCACCCAAAGGATCCAGATGACAAAGGACAGGCTCCTTCCGTGGAGAGCCAGCCACCAAGTGCCTGATGCATGCACCGGCTTCTTAGAAGAGGTCTCTGCTGTGTCCCCAGGACCCTTCCATGGTGGCTGCAAGGTGTTCTTTCTCTCCCCCTAACATGGCAGAGGGTCCCTCTGTCCCCAGGCTGCCAAGGCTCGCTCTCTCCAGGGACATGGAGATGCCGTCTCACCTCCTTCTTGAGGCCTAGTTGCAGCAGTCAGAGGGTCCACAATGGGGTTTTCTTTCTAGACGCCCCCGGGAGGTCCTGGTGAGCTTCTCTCACGTGTCGGTGGCTGCGAGATGCTGGCTGGGCGCGTGCTCGGCGAGTGCCCAGGGTGCTGGGGACCGACGCCAGCCACACAGAGCTCCCTTTGTGGTCTGAGAAGAGTGTGTCTGGGAGGCGACCGCAGGCCAGGATTGCTAACTCACCTTCCAACAGAGCTCAGGGGAGAAAACTGAGCCCCAGAGAGAGGCCCGGCCTTCCCAGCACCCGGGAACCTCGGCCTGTGTGCTGAGGCCCTTTCTCTGGCTGGACTTGTCTCCCTCGTTAGTATTTCACATTCCTCCCGTATTTTTAAGCCTAAACCCCAGAAAGGATCCACAGAACCTCCACATGAAGCTCAGGTCTCCGGGGCTGGTTTTTAATCACCCACAGCCTTGGAAACTATGAGAAGCCACGAGAAGCCACAGATACGTGGAAACTCAGGAATTAGTTGACTGATCTCACAGCTTGGTGTGTGTATCCTGGAGCACAAATGATTCCCCCAAATCTCAACCACTGGATCTAACATTTTGTTCTGTATGTGCTTCAAGAGGTTTTGTAACTCAGCACACACCTGTCATCCCAGCAGCTCGGGAGGCTGAGGCAGGAGGATCGAAAGTTCAAAGCCAGCCTCGGCAAAAGCAAGGTGCTAAGCAACTCAGTGAGACCCTGTCTCTAAATAAAATGCAAAAGAGGGCTGGGGACGTGGCTCAGTGGTCGAGTGCCCCTGAGTTCAATCCTGGTACCCTCCACCCTCCAAAAAATACACAGATTAACAATTCTCTCAACGGCAAGGTTCTGAATACCCTCTGCCTGAAAGATTAGAGGCTGAAGATATTAAGTGTCAAGACAGGTGACCCGTGGGAGGCCTGTGGATGTTTCCAGCTGCTTTAATTTTGGCCTGTGGCATTGACAAAATATTTGAAATCATTGCCAGTGTCTTAAATCCAGGATATTTGACGTGCAAATCTAGATTCTCACTTCTCTTTTGAAAAGCAGAAGATGGAGCAAAGCTGGCGAGGCATTCCTGCATCTGAGTGGCCGTGCCTGGTGCCTGGCTGCAGCAAGCAGCTGCATGTGTCACACCCACACTGATACTTGCCTGAGGTCACATGGGTGGTCAATATTCACAACCGTCTGAATACTAGCACGCGGTTAGGCTCCTCCCGAATGCAAAGCATTAGTGTCAGCAGGCAGTAAGTACTATCTCATTTAAACACCACGCCAGCTGTAGGGTGTCGGTATTAATAGTCTGCTTTATGCACACAGTGAAACTGAGGCTCGGAAGAGAACCAATTTGCTCCATGTCGTTCATCAGTAAGTGGCACAGCCAGGACTTGGACCAGAGTGGCCCATGGAAGCACTCTTGGACCACGATGGGAGAGCGGGTTCTCAGTAGTTCAATCACGGTGGGACTCGCTAAGCCAGGGTTCAGTCTGTGAGCTGGCAGCACAGGAGAACGAGGGACCTCGTGACTGGATCAGATGTTCCTAATGCCATTTCCCTGCTGGGGGTCTCCACGGTGGTGACTGAACGGACCCACCCTCCCCTAAACCCAGAACCCCCCTATCCCATCTAGGTGCTGGCTAGTCAGTCCCCGGTACCCCTCACCACACCAACTGTGGGCTCCCAGTGCTTCTGAAGGTGGCCACAGGGCTCTGTTTGGACACTTGTCTTCCTGGGGCTGGGGACACTAGCCACATCTCGGGC